CATACACATGTCATCCTGTCAACTCAATCACATGTCATCCTGTCAACTCAAACACATGTCGTCCTGTCAACTCACTTATCGTCCTGTCAACTCACTTATCGTCCTGTCAACACCATATCTATATCATCATATCGCTTATCATGGACGAAGTTTTTTCATGGACATCCAAAATTTCATCGCAACTCGAGCTTAAAATTTTAAACAGAAACTAAATATAAATGAAAATTTCATAATTTATTCATAAAATAGTGTTAAAATTTACAGTACTATTAATTTTTTACTATATAACTGAGGTTTGAGGTTTGTAATGATATTTTTTTAGAGGGAGAAGAGGGATTCAAAGGACTGCAATAGCGCAAATTGACTGCACATTAAATGCAAATATTGAGTACAAATTTCATCACAGCCGTAACGAAAATTTTTTGTAAATTATTGATAACTTTTCATACAAACAGTAATGGTATGAGTGATGTCATTAGAATAATTATACATACAACTTTACGGGTAGGATGTTAGGTATCCTATATGATGTTGGTATCCTATATGATGCTGGGTATCATATATGATGCTGGGTATCCTACATGATGTTGGTATCATATATGATGTTGGGTATCATATATGATGTTGGTATCCTATATGATGTTGGTATCCTATATGATGTTGGTATCATATATGATGTTGGTATCATATATGATGTTGGGTATCCTATATGATGNCTGCTGACGTGTACCCTCCCTGCTGACGTGTACCCTCCCTGCTGACGTGTACCCTCCCTGCTGACGTGTACCCTCCCTGCTGACGTGTACCCTCCCTGCTGACGTGTACCCTCCCTGCTGACGTGTACCCTCCCTGCTGACGTGTACCCTCCCTGCTGACGTGTACCCTCCCTGCTGACGTGTACCCTCCCTGCTGACGTGTACCCTCCCTGCTGACGTGTACCCTCCCTGCTGACGTGTACCCTCCCTGCTGACGTGTACCCTCCCTGCTGACGTGTACCCTCCCTGCTGACGTGTACCCTCCCTGCTGACGTGTACCCTCCCTGCTGACGTGTACCCTCCCTGCTGACGTGTACCCTCCCTGCTGACGTGTACCCTCCCTGCTGACGTGTACCCTCCCTGCTGACGTGTACCCTCCCTGCTGACGTGTACCCTCCCTGCTGACGTGTACCCTCCCTGCTGACGTGTACCCTCCCTGCTGACGTGTACCCTCCCTGCTGACGTGTACCCTCCCTGCTGACGTGTACCCTCCCTGCTGACGTGTACCCTCCCTGCTGACGTGTACCCTCCCTGCTGACGTGTACCCTCCCTGCTGACGTGTACCCTCCCTGCTGACGTGTACCCTCCCTGCTGACGTGTACCCTCCCTGCTGACGTGTACCCTCCCTGCTGACGTGTACCCTCCCTGCTGACGTGTACCCTCCCTGCTGACGTGTACCCTCCCTGCTGACGTGTACCCTCCCTGCTGACGTGTACCCTCCCTGCTGACGTGTACCCTCCCTGCTGACGTGTACCCTCCCTGCTGACGTGTACCCTCCCTGCTGACGTGTACCCTCCCTGCTGACGTGTACCCTCCCTGCTGACGTGTACCCTCCCTGCTGACGTGTACCCTCCCTGCTGACGTGTACCCTCCCTGCTGACGTGTACCCTCCCTGCTGACGTGTACCCTCCCTGCTGACGTGTACCCTCCCTGCTGACGTGTACCCTCCCTGCTGACGTGTACCCTCCCTGCTGACGTGTACCCTCCCTGCTGACGTGTACCCTCCCTGCTGACGTGTACCCTCCCTGCTGACGTGTACCCTCCCTGCTGACGTGTACCCTCCCTGCTGACGTGTACCCTCCCTGCTGACGTGTACCCTCCCTGCTGACGTGTACCCTCCCTGCTGACGTGTACCCTCCCTGCTGACGTGTACTCTCCCTGCTGACGTGTACTCTCCCTGCTGACGTGTACCCTCCCTGCTGACGTGTACCCTCCCCTGCTGACGTGTACCCTCCCTGCTGACGTGTACCCTCCCCTGCTGACGTGTACCCTCCCTGCTGACGTGCTGAATTAGGTCATGAATGGAGTGATGAATGAGATGATAAATTAAATGAATATCAACAGTGTTGTTACAACAACAAAACTCTTCACTGTACACTACCATAAGTTCACTGTACAATACCATAAGTTCACTGTACAATACCATAACTTCACTGTAAATTACCATAACTTCACTGTACAATACCATAACTTCACTGTACAATACCATAACTTCACTGTACAATACCATAACTTCACTGTACACTNAACTCAACCTCATAACTCAACCTCATAACTCAACCTCATAACTCAACCTCATAACTCAACCTCATAACTCAACCTCATAACTCAACCTCATAACTCAACCTCATAACTCAACCTCATAACTCAACCTCATAACTCAACCTCATAACTCAACCTCATAACTCAACCTCATAACTCAACCTCATAACTCAACCTCATAACTCAACCTCATAACTCAACCTCATAACTCAACCTCATAACTCAACCTCATAACTCAACCTCATAACTCAACCTCATAACTCAACCTCATAACTCAACCTCATAACTCAACCTCATAACTCAACCTCATAACTCAACCTCATAACTCAACCTCATAACTCAACCTCATAACTCAACCTCATAACTCAACCTCATAACTCAACCTCATAACTCAACCTCATAACTCAACCTCATAACTCAACCTCATAACTCAACCTCATAACTCAACCTCATAACTCAACCTCATAACTCAACCTCATAACTCAACCTCATAACTCAACCTCATAACTCAACCTCATAACTCAACCTCATAACTCAACCTCATAACTCAACCTCATAACTCAACCTCATAACTCAACCTCATAACTCAACCTCATAACTCAACCTCATAACTCAACCTCATAACTCAACCTCATAACTCAACCTCATAACTCAACCTCATAACTCAACCTCATAACTCAACCTCATAACTCAACCTCATAACTCAACCTCATAACTCAACCTCATAACTCAACCTCATAACTCAACCTCATAACTCAACCTCATAACTCAACCTCATAACTCAACCTCATAACTCAACCTCATAACTCAACCTCATAACTCAACCTCATAACTCAACCTCATAACTCAACCTCATAACTCAACCTCATAACTCAACCTCATAACTCAACCTCATAACTCAACCTCATAACTCAACCTCATAACTCAACCTCATAACTCAACCTCATAACTCAACCTCATAACTCAACCTCATAACTCAACCTCATAACTCAACCTCATAACTCAACCTCATAACTCAACCTCATAACTCAACCTCATAACTCAACCTCATAACTCAACCTCATAACTCAACCTCATAACTCAACCTCATAACTCAACCTCATAACTCAACCTCATAACTCAACCTCATAACTCAACCTCATAACTCAACCTCATAACTCAACCTCATAACTCAACCTCATAACTCAACCTCATAACTCAACCTCATAACTCAACCTCATAACTCAACCTCATAACTCAACCTCATAACTCAACCTCATAACTCAACCTCATAACTCAACCTCATAACTCAACCTCATAACTCAACCTCATAACTCAACCTCATAACTCAACCTCATAACTCAACCTCATAACTCAACCTCATAACTCAACCTCATAACTCAACCTCATAACTCAACCTCATAACTCAACCTCATAACTCAACCTCATAACTCAACCTCATAACTCAACCTCATAACTCAACCTCATAACTCAACCTCATAACTCAACCTCATAACTCAACCTCATAACTCAACCTCATAACTCAACCTCATAACTCAACCTCATAACTCAACCTCATAACTCAACCTCATAACTCAACCTCATAACTCAACCTCATAACTCAACCTCATAACTCAACCTCATAACTCAACCTCATAACTCAACCTCATAACTCAACCTCATAACTCAACCTCATAACTCAACCTCATAACTCAACCTCATAACTCAACCTCATAACTCAACCTCATAACTCAACCTCATAACTCAACCTCATAACTCAACCTCATAACTCAACCTCATAACTCAACCTCATAACTCAACCTCATAACTCAACCTCATAACTCAACCTCATAACTCAACCTCATAACTCAACCTCATAACTCAACCTCATAACTCAACCTCATAACTCAACCTCATAACTCAACCTCATAACTCAACCTCATAACTCAACCTCATAACTCAACCTCATAACTCAACCTCATAACTCAACCTCGTAACTCAACCTCCTCATTAATCATCATATTAATGTAACACATCTTATTAAATTATCTCATTAATATTCATGCCTCATAATTCCTCACAAAATCAACTTATTCCTTATACTTCAATGTGGTCGAGTAATTAATTTAAATAAATAATAATTTTGAAAAAATAAATCAATAATAACAGTAATAAAAATATTAATGAATAGTTTAATAGTTTAAATAAATTAATAATTTAGTGAAAATTATAGCCGATATGTCAGCGGCCAGGCAGCGGTCTCCCAGTTTAACAGTATTATTCTATTAATTATTCTTTGGTATTTCTTTACGTTAAATATTAACTTTAATGTACATTAAATACATTAAATTCTTAAATACTTATTACTTAAATACTTATTAAATGTACATTAAATACTTTAACTCAGTGATGCTAACGTCGACGTCGACGTATATTTTAAGTATCAAAAAATATAATTAGTTTTCACTGCAATAAATAGAATTTTTTGGGCCGATAATTGAGTCAATAAATAGGAAAGTTTCCCCAAATTAAGGGGAATTCTCACCCGGAATTCCCCTTCTCTTTCGCCTTATAAGACAGTATTCCAATCCTTCAGTTCTTTAGGAAGAGAAAAATATAAAAAAGTGAAATTACCATGCGTGACCTCATTAAAAAATATTAATCATTAATCCCTCCTCCTAAACCATTAATCATTAATCCCTCCTCCATTAATCCCCATTAAACCTCCCTCCAAAAAGAAGTCCAACTCCCCCCCTCCATCCGTAGACGAATTCTCCCCCCCCTGCACCTGATGCTGCACCTGATGCTGCACCTGCTGCTGCACCTGATGCTGCACCTGATGCTGCACCTGCTGCTGCACCTGATGCTGTACCTGCTGCTGTACCTGGTGCTGCACCTGATGCTGCACCTGATGCTGCACCTGATGCTGTACCTGATGCTGCACCTGCTGCTGCACCTGATGCTGCACCTGATGCTGCACCTGATGCTGCACCTGATCCTGAACAATCAATGCATTACATTCATATCCGCTATAAAATGCTATCATTTTCTTACGAAACAAGATAATTTAAATCATCTGATTATAATTGATTAATATAATCATTTCGAATGTTTTAAATATTTCTACATAAAATTAATCTGAGTAATATAATCAAATCAAAGTTGTAAATAAAATTAGTCAATTATCATTAATAATTACAAGGAATGCCACCAATAATAAAACTTAATTGACCAGAACGTCCAGCGATGTCCACGGTAATTAAGTAGTCGGAGATTATCGGCGTTTTAACGGCGGCCATACAATAGCCGACGATAATACGCCTATAATTTGCAGTAGGCGCTTGACAGGCGAAGAGCTGCAGGCGACAGACGCTTACTGTCAATTATGTGTTCAACCTTCGAGCTTTTTTTAACATTTTTAGTCAAGGTTATAAGAAGTTATTTGGGTATAGACGTTATAAAGTAGTTATGAGAGTATAGATGTTATAAAGTAGTTAAGTGGGTATAGACGTTATAAAGTAGTTATGTGGGTATAGACGTTATAAAGTAGTTATGAGGGTATAGACGTTATAAAGTAGTTGTGAGGGTATCGACGTTATGAAGTAGTTATGAGGATATAGACGTTATAAAGTAGTTATGAGCGTATAATATATTTGATCAGAAATTATACACGATTATATTACACGTATAATTTCGATATATTACACGTAATGCGTATACACGCATATTTTATCGTGTAATATTGGTTGGTTATCAAATATCGATTTTGTCTATAATTTTTTTAGATTTATTGAGAAATTAAAAAATCTAATAGTAATATTGGTGGCTACCAAATATCGAGTTTGTTTCCAATTTTATTTATTTATTAAGAAATTCAAAAACTCGAAGACAATTTCGTTGCGCAGCAGAGAGGGAATGCCTGAGCAATGGCCGCTGGCTCCCTAAAGGCAATTTGCTGCCTCAGGTTAGGCACTAATTGCCTGTAATTGCCTGCGTGTGTGTGGGCACTGGGCAGCTGGGCAGTGTAGCCGAATTATAGGCGGCCAATGGCCGAATTATCGGCGGCTAATAGCCGAATTATCGACGGCCAGCTATGTCAATCTCATCCTTGACTGTCGCAGCCCTCCAGGGTATAGGTGCCTAAATATTATAGGCGGCTTATGAGCGGTCAACTCATATATTATATTATATTATATTATATTATATTATATTATATTATATTATATTATAATATATTATATTATATTACATTATATTTCATTTTATTGTATTATATCATACTGTATTATATGCGGCTGTGAATTAATCATGTTAGATTAAATTTATTCATATTAAATTCCACACCATGTGTTTAATTAAAAACAATTACGATTGCGCAAAACAATATAGTTATAAACTCTTTACTTCTCTTCCAATTTGCACATTTTTGTTTAAATTTCATTTATTTCTTGCCTCAATTTTCATTTTAATAAAAATTTGCCTAAATTTATAAAAATTCAAAGAGCAAGATTTTTAGACTGAGATTTGGCACGGAACTTCTAAAAAACTTGCATTTCCTTATATTTCCAGGTTCGTTAAAACGGAACCGGATGTTCACAAGCGAGATGACGAATTTTTAACGGCGGCGCGGATACGACGTGGGAATTTCGCGGGACAGACGTGGGCACGTGGGAGTTATCGCTCGTGGGAATTCATATAGGCTTAAAATATCCCGCGAACCTCAGAGTATTTCTGGAGAATTTCTAACTGCTCAGCCTGCAGTTTATTATTAGTCACCCACTCAGCCATGGTGGGTGAGTGGGTGAGTGGGTTAGTTCCACTCCCTGCCATGGTGGGTGAGTGGATGAATTTCACCCTCAACCATGGTGGGTGAGTTCCACCCTCTGCTATGGTTGGGGAGTGGGTGAGTTCCACACTCTACCATGGTGAGTGAGTGGGTGAGTTCTTGGGTGAGTGGGTGAGTTCCACCCTCTACCATGGTGGGTGAGTGGGTGAGTTCCACTCTCTAGCATGGTGGGTGAGTGGGTGAGTTCCACCCTCTACCATGGTGGGTGAGTGGGTGAGTTCCACCCTCTGCCATGGTGGGTGAGTGGGTGAGTTCCTTCCTCTACCATGGTGGGTGAGTGGGTGAGTTCCACCCTCTGCCATGGTGGGTGAGTGGGTGAGTTCCACCCTCTACCATGGTGGGTGAGTGGGTGAGTTCCACTCTCTAGCATGGTGGGTGAGTGGGTGAGTTCCACCCTCTGCCATGGTGGGTGAGTGGGTGAGTTCCACCCTCTACCATGGTGGGTGAGTGGGTGAGTTCTACTCTCAGCTATGGTGGGTGAGTGGGATAGTTTCACCCTCTACCATGGTGGGTGAGTGGGTGAGTTAAACCCTCACCCACTGAATCACAAGTCAATATACCCACCCCTCACCCATCAAAGTCTCCCTCTAAAACAAAGGAATGAGGGGAAACTGTAATATTTTTTGCCCTCAACTAATGCCGAGTCTCGACCCACGAACCTGGGGCGCTAGACACGAACTGCCGGGATCAGTTCGTGGATTAAACACGAAAATGAAAAATAGTTGCGTGAATTGAACACGAACTTTCTGTATAGTTGTATGGTATGCAATAATTTTGGCCTGTAGCAAGCAATCTACTTAACACATATAGGAGGCTCGGAACATGAATATATACTTGCTTTAATTCAATTCAAAATACAAATGTCTCAATTTGGAAATATGTGACATTGATCTATGTGACAAAAAAATATATCTACACAAATTTGCATACATTGTTCGATAAATTAACCGGTAATTTGTACGATAAATTGTAATATGAATTGTACATTAAAAAATATTTACACAAATTTGCATTACTTTGAATTATGACTTAGTTGATGGTTAATGAATGTTAACCAGGAATTCTAAATTATTGACGTAATTCAATAAGTAGGAAATCTACTATTATTTATACTATATTAATTGCTTAGTATTAATTATTAGCATTGCGTTGTAAAGAATTAGTGCGAAGTAGGCGCTGAAACTTACGAGTTTTGATCGTGTTGCTATAGGTTCAGTTAAGATAAACTGTAGGAGGGAAGTAATATATTAAATGATGGAATATATTACGCGATGAAATATTTCATATACTTTTATATAATTTTGATATTTTATTTAATGGTGAATACGCGTAACAAAAGACGCCGCGTGGAGGGCAGTTGAGAGCTTACGCAGGATGCGCTACGTATGTACGCAATAATTCTAATTCTGACTAATGAAAGGATAATAATTATTAAACGGAATCATAGAAAAGATAATTATAAACAATTAACAACATAAAATATTGGAAAATTATTTGATATAAATTAATAATCTGATAGGAAAAATGCTTATGCCGAACGCGATAGGATGTTCTTCTTTCCATGTTCTTCTTAAATTCATTTTTTCCAATATTCATTTAACAAAAAAGAAAATCACAGAAAGTAGTAGTTGTAAAATAAAATAATTACCAATGTAGGAAAATGTAGGCCCAAAACAATTATGTACAGCCTATTTAAAGAATAAAAAAAGAAGGTGTAAAAATTCAGCAGCGGCCGCTAGGCTTAAGTTCTTTCCCGCGGATTTCGAGGGGAAATCTAACCCCTTGTGGGAAAAAGAGGGCAGTTGTGGGAATTTTTAAGAAGTTGTTTACTGTTGGCAGGAATGCGAGCATCTGTTGAGGAAGCTGCCCTCTGTTCAACAGACGTGCCCCGTACGTCATTCTTAGCGTGTCATTTTAACGGCGAAACCGTCCTGCTGTTTTTTTCCTGTTTTACAGGCGCACATTTTTTGTAATTTTCACATAGAAATGAGACGAGAAAAAGAGTGTAGCATTGCTATGACCGTACAATTATAACATATTGTTTGTGATTATCCTCTTCTGCATACATGATTCTTGTATAATACATGATTATAATATTTTTGGGCCATAATAATCTGTGTCTTATGATCAATAACTATTAACGTTCAATGGTGTGCAATTATCAATGATTTATAGTGTATAATTATCAGTGATTTCCAAACAATATTTTATTTATAGGCAACCACACGTGGTTGGTCATTAATATTAATGCATTAACTGAATGACGATATTAATTTTTTTCTTCAATCAATTATCCCAAAATCCTAGCCGCAAATCGCAGGCCGCCCAAAGCCCGGCGATAATTAGCCCTATAATCGCCAGTCCCGCGAGGTCAAAACGATCGGGTTCCGCTGAACCGGTTTCCGCAAAGACAAAAGTTTTCCCGACAATTCGCGATAGTGCAAAATTTTTTTACGCAAATTTCCTTATTGTTGTGAGCGGAAAAATTGCTTTTTATGGACGTACGAAATTTCCCACGCGTATCGATGATGGGTTTTTGTTCACACACTCATCAAGAGGCGTGTATTGATCAGCACACAGATGTATTAATACATGCACAAACTCAAGGGCTATCGTATTCACACACCGAGCTTTTGTGTGATTGTTCTCATACAAGAACACAGCACAGAACCTCTTGTTCTTACCAACCAGGCATCAAACTGCCGGCCCAGCATGTTAAATAAAAACCATATATCTTTATTATAAAAAATATAAGTCCTAGGATCATCATTGTAAACGGAACATCATTGTAAAAAAATTCATTATGACCAGGATCTCATAAAAGGTAGGCGCTATGGATCTTCACTATCTCCTGGAGTTCGCTCCCACAATAAAACTGCCCGCACTATTTTGGTTCTCACTGTACGGAACTATAATGGCAATCTTCATATTATAATAATTCCTTGCTATGTGAATACCTTATATGCCTATATGTGAGGGATAATAGTTGTTTATATACCTATATGTGAGAAATACAAGTCGCTTATTTGCCTATAAGTTAGTATATACAATATAAATATATAAATGTTGATCATTCAAAATTTTCACCATGTATAGATCATTCATCATTTTTATCGCCCATTAATATGAACGGAAGTGATTATCTTCAATATATTTCAATTTTAATCTCGCACCGAAATTAATTTTTTTTGATTGGGGAATGGAATTTAAAATAAATAAATCAAAATAAATTTATCAACTTTACTCAATTTTTTGTGATTGGCTTCGCGGTAGCAATTTTTTTAATTAATTTCTTTCGCTGCTCGGGATAAATATTCCTTTATATCTCGGAATTCTGTTATCCAGGATTTCGTATTACGAAAACTGTAATCCAAAATCCCGTATTTCGAATCCTGTTGTCCAGAATCCCGTATTTCGAATCCTGTTAGCCAGAATCCCATATTTTGAATCCTGGTATCCAGAATCTCGTATTACGAATCCTGTTATCCTGCGTCCCGATTTTCGAATCCTGTTATCCGAAATCCCGTATTTCGAATACTGTTATTCAGAATTCTGTTTTCCGCATCCAATTATTCAGAATCCCGTCTTTGAGTTTCAAGCTCTGTTAGAGAAAATTGAAATTCATTCAAACTTTAAAATACAATAGAACAGACTCTACATATGCGCGATAACGATACATGCGCACTGAATATATTCAGTTGTCAGTTGTTGAACAATTATTGTGCTCTTCAGTTGTCAGTTGCAGCACAATTATTGTGCTCTTCAGTTGTCAGTTGCAGCACAATTATTGTGCTCTTCAGTTGTCAGTTGCAGCACAATTATTGTGATCTTCAGTTGTCAGTTCTAACATTTGATCAATAAATGATGTTGATTATGTAATACTGTAATAGTTCGATGTTGTGACACTCATTCCAGTAATTAATTAATTAACTATTCCATTAGTTACCACATCAGTTGAGCATCGGTGCTTGAGGAGGGAGGTTGTCAGTTGTTAATTTCCAAGTGTAAACAAAATGGAAACAAAGGACCCATAAAGTGTATAATACGTGTGCAAAAAATGCGTACAAAGTTTTGAGCTAGTGTAAGCAAAACGTACGTAAAAAATGTAGTCAGGACTACCTATATTAACCTGTTCACACGTTTCATGTTTTTTACATTTTCTAGCTGCATCTCAATGAATCCATATTAAGGAATATATTCAAGCAACCCATGAATAAGGCCTATTCCTGACCTGTGACAACTCCAAGGCCTCCCTTCTGTCACAGGGTGGAATTCTACACACCAACCACCAACTCCTACCACCACATCAACAGTTCTACAACCACCAGTAATTACCACATCTATAATTCTATATAACCAGCACCAACCACCACACCTATAATTCTACAACCATCACCAACGACCACATCTATAATTCTACAACCATCACCAACGACCACATCTATAATTATACACCACCACTAACCACCACATCTATAATTATACACCACCACTAACCACCACATCTATAATTCTACACCACCACTAACCACCGCATCTATAATTCTACAACCAACATAGGTTGTTCCGCAGGGCCTTGCTCACTGCAACAATTATTATGCATATGTGGCAGGATGGATCTTTAATTTTAAACTTGATAGAGTTGTATGCATCTTAGTACATTCCAGAATGAAGACCAGGCTGGGAGTACCAGGGTAAGGATCTCTTTTTATTAAACGGATGTTACTGGGTGGAAATTAGTTTAATTGGGTGGAGCTGGTTGAATTAGGACAACCAGGTTGCTCTTTATCGTTTGTCTGTTTCCAAAACTTGCCATGGTAATCCTTGCAGGGTTCTCATAGTCACAGTAAAGACAAATCAAATTAAAAAAAAAACATTTATTATAATATGATGTCACTGCTTGTCTGCATTACCAAATCTATTAACGCAACAAATTAATATTTATGTCAGGGGAGGTAAGGGGAAAAGTAACGTTCATTTACCGATGCCAAAATTTCAACAAGAGAGAACGCCCCAGCGCACATGTATCGATTTCCGTTTTTTAATTTTGAAAATATATCCGGTTCATATTAATTAGATATATGCGAACATTTGCATGTGTAACTAAGGAGTTCAATCCTTGACAGTGACCTAATCGTCGGTTATATTTATTATCTCTTCTATAAGGGCTCAAACTTATAATGATCACAGAACATCACGGTAAGGAGATTTCTTTTACATTCTCGCTGCTAAATAAGTAATTAATTCTTCAGAATTTTCAGTGAATTTTCAAGTTTTAACAAAAATTGCTCGAAACTTATGAAGTAAGTATTGATGTCTCTGACAAACTCAATTGAATACTTGTTAAAAAGTGATCGCATTCAGAAACGCTTGAGTTTCGACCTTCACACCAGCTAGGTTATTTATAACATTGCCTGTATGGTAATGTTAACATTTTATTTAAAAAGTAATCTTTAATATATTAGGTTTTTAATTGAACTAAATATGTTAGCTTCGGCTCCAAGCATTCAAATTATGTATTGAATTATTTACGGTTATTTGTCATTCAAATCGTGGAGATACGAAACCGTGAAGAATGTATGTCTTAAAACAGTAAACGCTTTACTATGCTGAGCCACAAGCGTATTTATCTGATGATTACGCATGATAAATGAGCGTAATGTGCATGTTACGCAGCACCCTAATGAGCGTAATGTGCATGTTACGCAGCACCCTAATGAGCGTAATGTGCATGTTACGCAGCACCCTAATGAGCGTAATGTGCATGTTACGCAGCACCCTAATGAGCGTAATGTGCATGTTACGCAGCATCATAATGAGCGTAATGTGCATATTGCGCAGCACCCTAATGAGCGTAATGTGCATGTTACGCAGAACCCTAATAAGCGTAATGTGCATGTTACTCAACACCCTTAATGAGCGTAATGTGGGTAATGTTCTCGAAGTTACGCACATCGAAGAACGCATCCCAGAATTAGTGAGTACAAATCTAGGCGTATATATCTAGTGAATAAAGTGCATTGAATTTATTCAGTTATTCAGAGGTACGAACTTCGAAAGTCACACGATGTTCGTAAATGTAGCAGTCCGGCAATCTTATTTCATACGGTAATCGTATTTTTTACGGCAATCGTATTTTTACGGTAATACATTTATACGGTAAACGTATTTATACGGTAATCGTATTTTATGCGGTAATCGTAAGTTATGCGGTAATCGTATTTATACGGTGACAGTATTATATAAGGTAATCGTATTATATACGGTAATCGTATTTCATACGGTAATCGTATTTCATACGGTAATCGTATTTCATACGGTATTCGTATTTCATACGGTAATCATATTTCATACGTCATACGGTAATCGTATTTCATACGGTAATCGTATTTCATACGGTAATCGTGTTTTATACGGTAATCGTATTTTATACGGTAATTATGGTATCCATGTTTCGTTGTCCGTAATTCTCGTCTTCAGTATTCTGGCCACCGTAACGATTACGAAAAATGTTCTTAGGATCTCAATACGCACGGCAGGGCGAGGGCTAAGTAGGAAGGCGTATGCTAATCAGATTTAAAGTTAAGATCAAACCAGTCCTTGTAAGCTGTCTTATCTTATCTTCGATCTGGTCAACGAAAACCTAATCGAAGTCGGCCCGATATTTTCAAAGATAGATCACGGCGCGCATTTATCTTGATAAGAGCAGTGACTGATAACGTGCGCTCATCGTGCATGACTTTACATTTATGTAAATGCTATTAATTAATCAGTCATAGCTGAATATTTAAGATATACAAACTAATCTCAGAAATATGCTAATCGTTTCATATGAATTTTTTCAGTTTAGAAGCTAGATATCGTACACCTGTGTACATGTTATTAGTTAACTAGTAATAAATAAATATTTAAGATATACAAACTAATCCCAAAAATATGCTAACCGTTTCATATGAATTTTTTTTCAGTATAAAAGCTAGATATCGATCTTATGTTTTTAAATTAGTAGATAATTGTGAAGTTTAGATAGCTCGCCAGGCTATATAAGGACGTGGGCTGAAACCCAGACCTCAGTTTATGAAGCACCGACCTAACAGGAAAGCGGTTAACCTCAACCACTCAAATTAAGGTAAGTTTAGTTACTTGAATTAATTTAACCGAAATAAACTTGATTTTGCACTAGAATTCTGCTAACATAAACTTCAGGATATGTATAAATCATGAAGAAATATCATGTGACTGATTCGTCTGTTGTCTCTGCAGCCCAGCAAGAATGAAACAGACGATCCAGCTGCTCCAGGCGGTGTTGAGCGTCGCCTGCGCAGGCAAGTTCTCCCAATGTTAAAAAAAAGCATATCAACTAATTTTTATAAGTATTTAGTGCGTAAAGCATCGTATATTGCAATAAACATACTGTATAAATGGTATGCTATTATCCATTGCAACTTTCAAGGTATGAACAGGCGATGAAGACAGTAAATTTGTTACTCGATTTTCATTTTGAAACATTTTCCGTAAGTTATTGCATAGGTTTTATTGCGACAATAAATTAATATGTAACTGAAGGCTTGAGATTATTTCAAAGATAGTACAAGTGCACACCGTTCGATCATTGTGCTCATTTTTATTGTTAATATCGCTCTATTGCACGTTATTTTTAATTTTTATAAATTAGGTTTTACAAAATGTTAACTTTATAAATCTCCCTCTATACGTTTATTAGTAGTTTTTTCTTCTAATTTTCAATGTAATAATTAAAAAAAATTAAAATAGAAAATAGTTTTAAATTATAACAAAAATTTAATATAAATTGTATAAATTTGACTTCTGATGTACGAATTTACAGTACCGCTGGGTTACTCTCGAACCAGCCCTGCAAACGGCTCAGTATATCCTGCCAACCGACACTATGTTAACGGCTACACTGAGGGAGAGAACACCACACAGCCTTCCTATGTGTACATACAGCGTCCTAAAGGATACTTCCGCAGTGTCCTGTACACTGACGAGGAGCTCAAGGGTCTCGACGAGAATCAGTATCCTTGGGAGGTTCAGAGTGCTGATTCTGTGGAGGACGACAGTGTCACTCTAGAAACCAGCACTAATTCTCAAGAAAACAGCACTTTTCCTCCAGAAATAATAGATTTTCCTTTAGAAAACAGCACTTTTCCTCTGGAAAACAGCACTGTTCTACAAGATAACATTTTCTCTCAAGAGAACAGCACAGTTCTACAAGATAACAGCATTTACCCTCTGGGTGACACCCCTTTGCTTCGTGCGAACAGCATTTCTTCCCTCCATAAGCCTCCCCAAAACCTATTCAAAAATCCTTTACATTTTGACACTACGAAAGACGTTCCAGAAAAAGATTTATTCTTCGGGTCTTCAATTGACTACACAAAATTTGACCTGGTTAAGCAGCAGGTTATACGCATCCTGCGAGGGAAATTCGAGAACGATGTCGAGACCGTCTTTAAGAATGTCCATAGTTCTAGTTATAGATATCTACATGTGAACCCGGATTACTTCGCTGGTGTTTCTCTAGAAGACATATTCCAGCATACTAGAAACTACTTCCGATTCAAATCTCCTCTTGAAGCCGAGAACCTACCTTCTAGAACCATCTATGAAGTCAGAAAGTTCCTTGCTACCCACTTAGAACTCCCATTGTATGTCGACCGAGGGTATATAGGATCTTTCGGCCAAGTTCTACAACGCAACAAGAACTTTTTCATGCTGGCTGCCAACTCAAGTTTGTACACTGACCAGTACAAGTACAACCTCATGGTCCAGATCGTGAGTCGTGTCATGTGGGAGGCCAACATGGTACCATGTCAGGAGTTCATGAGGGACCAGTTCTACCATGAGGTGTCGTGGCGAGAGTTCTTCGACAGGAAGGCGGTCCAGCTCGGCGGTCAGTTCTGGGTCAAAAAATGTTAGGCAAAAAAGTTTAGGGTAAATGAGCCAAGAAGTTCTGAGTAAAAAAGATTAGGAGGCACTAGAGTTAAAGTGTAAAAAAAGACTTAGGGCATAAGATTTCTGGGGTAAAAAAGATTATAAGAGGTATGGGGTAAAAAAAATTATGGGCATATGATTTCCGGGGCAAAAAAGAATATGAGGCGTAAGATTTCTGGAGTAAAAAAGATTATGATATCGCAGGTATTGAAGAAATTCATATTTTTTAACTTTGGATACATTTGATAAAATCAACCTCCCTTCCTTATCATCCTCCCTTATCATTCCTCTAACTCGCCCCCATCCCCCCCAGGTGTACGTGAGGGCCCCACGTATCATCTGGTCCCCCTGGACGCGGCCCACGTGCCCCAGCGTCTGCTGGGCTGCCTGCCCTGGGCCGCCCAGGGAGAATGCTTTAGCTGGGCCAACACCCAGCTGTCCTAGCACGTCCAGGACGCCGTGGCCCAGCACCAGGACGTCCAGGACGTCGTTGGCCCAGCACCAGGACGTCCAGGACGTCGTGGCCCAGCACCAGGGCGTCCAGGACGCCGTGGCCCAGCACCAGGACGTCCAGTACGTCGTGGCCCAGCACCAGGACGTCCAGGACGCCGTGGCCCAGCACCAGGACGTCCAGGACGTCGTTGGCTTAGCACCAGGACGTCCAGGACGCCGTGGCCCAGCACCAGGACGTCCAGGACGCAGTGGCCCATCACCAGGACGTCCAGGACGCCGTGGCCCATCACCAGGACGTCCAGGACGCCGTGGCCCATCATATCGTATATATGACCAGGGCATGTATATAATATATCATAAAATATCTCCCGCGGCAATCATTAATTTTGAAAATGTTATGTCTATTGTATCATGTAACAAATAATTTACGGGGTTTTTGGCCCACTAAGTAAATCTTGACGCGCAGATCCCTTGTTTTATCTCATAATTCTTCGTAGTTATACGCTTGATCCTACTGATTTAAGTTCAATAACTTGAAGTTAAGGAATTAAAGATAATCAAAGGCATTTACGATATTTATTTGGAAAATTACGATAGTGAAACAGCAATCACGATTAAAATGAAGCGATATTAAAACAGCACGAATTTTTAGGTATAGCAACGATATTTGAATGAATGTATCAGAGACAATATAAATAATTGAACGAAAGCTACAAACAAAGAGATTAAATATTTAATCATATGCATAGCTTGCCGGTTATCCTGCGTGGCCCGAGATTAATAATGACTGTCATTTACCTGCATTGATAATTAGAAGCTATTGCTTGATAACGTTATAAATACCCGTTATAAATACTCATTATAAATACTCGATATTAGTACCCATTAAAACAGACATTTAACCTATAATTAAAAAAAAAAAGAATTTGAACCTCGTTTCAAAATATGTACAAAATATTTAGCGTCTCTCAAGTCGAATTTATATTTTCTAGAAAAAATTTTTGTTTGGCCTACGTAAACAAGCTACAGCCTACATCATCCTGCCATAGCCTACATCAGCCTGCCACAGCCTACATCATCTTGCCACAGCCTACATCATCCTGCCACAGCCTACATCCTGTCTCTTATACACATCTAGATGTGTATAAGAGACAGATCATAATGAGCGTAATGTGCATGTTACGCAGCACCCTAATGAGCGTAATGTGCATGTTACGCAGCACCCTAATGAGCGTAATGTGCATGTTACGCAGCACCCTAATGAGCGTAATGTGCATGTTACGCAGCACCCTAATGAGCGTAATGTGCATGTTACGCAGCACCCTAATGAGCGTAATGTGCATGTTACGCAGCACCCTAATGAGCGTAATGTGCATGTTACGCAGCACCCTAATGAGCGTAATGTGCATGTTACGCAGCACCCTAATGAGCGTAATGTGCATGTTACGCAGCACCCTAATGAGCGTAATNGCTCCTCCACCAATACCCCATCGCTCCTCCACCAATACCCCATCGCTCCCCCACCAATACCCCATCGCTCCTCCACCAATACCCCATTGCTCCTCCACCAATACCCCATCGCTCCTCCACCAATACCCCATCGCTCACCCACCAATACTTCATCGTTCCTCCACCAATACCCCATCGCTCACTCACCATTACCTCATCGCTCCTCCACCAATACCCCATCGCTCACCCACCAATACCCCATCGCTCACCCACCGATACCCCATCGATACTTCGGGAGTCACACCCGTCGTCCATTACCCGCGCACCAGGACTCCTCTCGTCGCCCCCGCGGCGCCCCTTGGGGTATGGTGAGATGGGTATGGCCCTGAGAATGTATGGCCCAGTGTATGGCCCAGTGTATGGCCCAGTGTATGGCCCAGTGTATGGCCCAGTGTATGGCCCAGTGTATGGCCCAGTGTATGGCCCAGTGTATGGCCTTGTGTATGGCCCAGTGTATGGCCTTGTGTATGGCCCAGTATATGGCCCAGTGTATGGCTCATTATATGGCCCAGTGCATGGCCCAGTGTATGACCCAGTGTATGGCCCACTGTATGGCCCAGTGTATGGCCCAGTACATGGCCCAGTATATGGCCCAGTATATGGCCCAGTATATGGCCCAGTATATGGCCCAATATATGATAATATTAAAGAGGAAGGCTTGTTTATAAGCCACCCTGTGGGCCACACCATGTTTGTGGGCCCCCCGGGGCCCGGGTCATTTTGACCCACCCAGTCTGATAGGAACTCGCCCACCTCCTGATGGCCTACCATCGGTGGCCACCGATAATCCTTCGATAATTTTTAATAGGGGATCGCGATACGAATTATACGTTGACAGCAACGATAGACGCGCGCCCGTATTATTAAGTACATATTATTGCATAATTGTGCGACGCTATCATACAGTGAGCCATTCATACGGTTATACATTCATACGGTGTCATAGCAGTCATATGTATTCACGAGTCATTCATTCATATGGTTGTGATTACCGTGTAATTCGTAAGCGAGGTATTAGTAACGAACGGTAACGCTGAACAGGTAAGCGTTACTCAGACCCAAGGCTCCGGTAAATGTTTCCATAATTATTCACTTTAAATTTTTTTTAAGATAATTAATTACATCGATATTAGTTTTGTCGATATTATTATAATTACATCTAATTTTACTTAAAAAATTCTTTTGCATGTATAGTAGCGTGTTATGGATAGTTTATCGGCGGCCAAGGGATGGCCGGCCACCCATGACACGCTCATAATTTATTACACTTGATAACAGGGCACGCGTAATAGGCGCGTCATCGCCGGCCAACTAAGGCGCGGTGTATGCATAATCAAGGCCTAAACTGTGTCATTAAAATCTCTGGGCATTTGATAAGGGGTAATTAGGCCGTGCCCTGCGTACCCATTACCGCCCCACGTGCCCATTAGACGTGTCACGTGCCCATTACCGGACTAGGCGACCACCAGGGCTTTGTAAACACATGCTAATTACTTTATATTACACGGTAACATTGTACTCATTGTATTCAGCACTTTCGACATTAAATAATGAACATTTAATAATTAAGTAATTTCGTCTTCACATTCTTACTAACATTTTATCCGAAATTTTATTTTTTAAAGCCTTGAATGTTCAAATTTGTGTTGGTCTTGCATGTTGAGTAAGAATATGTTACCAGAGATGATAATGTGATAATGATGAATATTATGTTTGAAGAGATGATGAAGATAATCTAGCTAACCATTAAATCATTAGTTATAATCAAGGTATAATCACTTGTCCACCTAACCAATGTTCTATATCACTCCGTCATCGCGTTTCATAATTATTTTTCTGTATTGTTATTATATTATTAATATATCAAGCTACGTTACCCAACTTTTATTTGTACCAGGAATTATTACTCTACGTAATTGTGCATATTTAAATTATGCAGGCCTTTATGCCAATTAATTTGAAGCTGCGGCAGAGGCAAATGATTGCTGGCTGTGACTTTGGTCGATTGGTGGCTAGCCTTTAGTTCTGTTAAATGCCTTTAATTGGTTCTGTTTAATGCCTTTGGTTCTCTTTAATTCCTTTGGTTCTACTTAATGCCTTTGGTTCTGTTTAATGCCTTTGTTTCTGTTTAATGCTTTTGGTTCTGTTTAATGCCTATGGCTCTATTTAATGCCTTTGATTCTGTTGAATGCCTTTGGTTCTACCTAATGCCTTTGGTTCTGTTTAATGTCTTTGGTTCTACCTAATGCCTTTGGTTCTGTTTAATGCCTTTGGTTCTACCTAATGCCTTTGATTCTCTTTAATTCCTTTGGTTCTACCTAATGCCTTTGGTTCTGTTTAATGCCTTTGGTTCTGTTTAATGCTTTTGGTTCTGTTTAATGCCTATGGCTCTATTTAATGCCTTTGATTCTGTTGAATGCCTTTGGTTCTGTTTAATGTCTTTGGATCTGATAATGCTTATGGTTCTGATTGCAAAGAGGTTCATTCCTGTAAAATCTTCCACTTACCTGACGACTGCCGCTCATTTTAAAAGGCACAATTTCTATATTTTCTTATTTATATGTCGACAGGGGTGCGGGCTGTTGCCAAAAAGGGTTCAATAACTCAAAGGGGGATTATACATGGAAGTTTAATAACTTGAAGAAGGTTTATATAGGGAGGTTTAAGTTATATAAGAGAGGAGGAGAGAACGCTGTGGCCGCTTCGAATGCTTGTAAATGCTTGGGCCCGTACAAATGTAAGGGTGGAGCCCTACTGAACTGTGAAAACAACAGCAGTGATAACAACAGCAGTGATAACAACAGTAACAACAGCAGTAACAGCAGCAGTGATAACAACAGCAGTGATAACAACAGCAGTGATAACAACAGCAGTGATAAAAACAGCAGAGATAAAAACAGCAGTGATAACATCAGTGATAACAACAGCAGTGACAGCAACGACAGCAACAGCCGTGATATCAACAGCAGTAACAACAGCAGTGATAACAACAGCAGTAACAACAGCAGTAACAACAGCAGTGATAACAACAGCAGTGATAACAGCAGCAGTGATAAAAACAGCAGTGATAACACCTGTGACAACAACAACAGTGACAACAACAGCAGTGACAACAACAACAGTGACAACAACAACTATAACAACAGCAGTGATAACACCTGTGACAACAACAACAGTGACAACAACAGCAGTGACAACAATAACAGTGACAACAACAACTATAACAACAGCAGTGATAACAACAGCAGTGAAAACAATAGCAGTGATAAAAACAGCAGTAACAACAGCAGTAACAACAGCAGTAACAACAGCAGTGATAACAACAGCAGTGAAAACAATAGCAGTGATAAAAACAGCAGTAACAACAGCAGTAACAACAGCAGTAACAACAGCAGTAANCCACCCATTCACCCGTCCACTCTACCACCCATCCATCCGTTCACCCATTCACCCGTCCACCCATTCACCCCTCCCTCCATTCATCCGTCTACCCGATCGCCCGTCCACTCTACCACCCGTTCACACATCCACCCGTCCACCCATCCACCCGTCCACCCATTCACCCGTCCACTCGTCCACCTGCCCGCCCGTCTACCAGTTCACACGTCCACCTGTTCACCCGTCAACCCTTTTGCCCGTCCACCCGTCCACCCGTCCCTCCGTTCACCAACGTCAAAATTCAAGCTTCATTTTTTTGTGGTCGCCGCCGACGCGTCGCTTTGTATGCAAACTTTGCAAACTTTCTTGCCGGAGTTTGGGGGGAGTGAGGGGAGTGAGGGGAGTGAGGGGAGGGAGAGGGGAGTGTGTAAAAAGGGGAGTGAGGTGAGTGAGGGGAGTGAGGGGAGTGAGGGGAGTGAGGGGAGGGAGGGGAGTATATGTAAGAGGTATCAGCGGAGTGAGGAACAGTGATAAACTATATTTAATATTGAAATCTCTGCACTGCTTGATAATTAATGCC